GAGTAACAAAACACTAGGCAGTGTTTTGTGTGGTAGTCCCAAAACACTTGCTTTACTCATGTGGACTGTGTGTGTGTGTGTGTCTGTGCACATTAAGATTTATAGCTGCCCATTGTAATAGGCTCAATCTGCAAGAAAAAAATAGTCTTCTTATGCTGCCATGAAAATATATTTGTTCCCATGTAACTTTTTTTTTTTTTTTTTTTTTTTTTTTTTTAGTTCTTTTTGAGAGGTGAAGACATCTTTTTTGGAGATTGTCAATTTACCCACATATATCTAGTGGATAACAATTATTCTGTTTGGATAGAGAGCTCTGAGTAACAAACAACAGGGTACAAAGGAAGAGAAGTTTGGGATCTGTATCTAGATGTCCCCCCAAAACTGCATGTGGTTATACATGGGGAGTTTCACAGGTGGTTGGTTAGGGTGTGTGAATGTGGATTAAGGGTGTGATACTGAAATTAAGGGTATGAGTAATGGAAGCCTCACCCTGGGATGAGTGACATCAGTCAATAGGCTTGTAGCCTGGATGGAATATACAGGGACAGAAAGAAGGTAGGCTTGCTGCTGCTGACTGCTCCCTGCCTCACCATGAACTATTTCTCCTATGCTATACCCCTCTGCTGTGCCACCCTGGTTGGAGCCCACTAACTATGGACAGAAGCCTTTATAAACTGTGAGCTGAAATAAACCTTCCTCTTTTAACTTTTGGTATCAGGTATTTTCTCTCAGCAATGAAAAAAGTAGCTTAAGACAGATTTTGGTACCAGAGAAGTAGAGTTGTTGCTGTAACATTACCTGTCCACATGGTTCAGGAACCTTTGGAACTGGCCTGTGGGAAGAGTTTGGAAAGGTTCGGAGACCCCAGCTAAAGAAGCAGCCCTGGAATGCTGTAAGCTGAACTTGATGGGAGATTCTGGTCAGAGCTAAAAGACCAGAATGTTGATAGAAATGTAGCTGGTTTATCCCATTCCCCGCCCTCCCAAAGAAGAAGAGAACAATAAAAGGACTATGTCTGAAAACAAAGCTCTCCCCTCCCCTCACTCGAGTGAAGAGGAAGAGTTTAAAGGAAGAGAGGCTAGGAAGCCAGGGTGAGAAGTGGAGATGAGACTGATAAGGCGCAGGGTAGGGACATATGCAGAGTCTGTGTGGGAGATGCTTCTAGAAGGATAGAGGCTCTCTCCCGGAGTGTTTGCTCTGGGGAAGGTTTGCAGATGAATGTGTGGATATGGGGCAGGCGAAGTGATTGGTGTTTGCAGAGACTAAGGAAACTGAGGAGGATTCAGGGATGACAGGAAGTGTTTGTACAGTAGGAGGATTTGTTTCCACAGAGGGACTTAAAGAGACAGAGAGTAGTGTTAGACTTGAAGGTGGGAAGGGGATCAGAGGATGGGGGCAGACAGGAGAGGGAGGGAAAGGGAAGTAAAGAGGATGAAATGCGCTGTGTGTACTACTGGTTCCCCACCATGAATGCATTCATTATGTAGTACAAACATAGAGTAATAAAAAATAAAGATTATTTTACAATGAAAAGATTGGGATGGGGAAGTAGGCCGCTTTTGATCTGTAATGAGAATATCGATGAGAAGGAAGTGATTGTTCCTGAAGCTTCTAATTAGTCCTCCTTCACGTTTTGGTGTGATTGGTAGGAAGACAGAGGTTTGTGTCCATTCTTCTCCTGTGCAAAGCCTGGAGTTTGGGGTTGAAATAGATTTCTGTTTTTCCCTTCCCTTCTCTAAAAGCTTCCCCTCAGGCCCCATCTGCTGCCCTTGGTCCCCACAGAAATTCTCCCCAGCATTCATTCCTGTGAGGAGTGGCGCTGCTTCTGAGGATGGCTCCGAGCCGGGTCTGAATTCAATTACATGTCATCAGTGCATGCTTTATTCATAACAGTGCTGCATCATAAACATCAGTGCTGAAAGAGGCCGGCCTGTGGACCACCAGTGTGCTGGAACTGCTTTGAACACCAGGCATCAGCCACTGTCTGCTGCAAACGTTCACTTGAAGGCAGCTTCTCAGCCTCAGAGCCCAGGCAGGACTCGATAAAGACTCAGACTTTATGATGACAGTGTGGACATTTTGACCTCTCTCCAGATTGATTTCTTCCCTTCCCCCTCCCCTTCCCCT